TTTTGATGTTGATTTCTGTTGAATATCCTAAGAAAAGAAGAATAAATCATTATAAAAAAAAACAAGAAACTTTTTGTTTTATTCAAACCATTAGAACAGCAAAATGTGTTAAATGATCACACATACAAGTAACACTATGTTTTGTAATATTACTTATATGACATCCTTCTGTTGACCATTGTGCTGTCATATCGTCAAATATATGCCAATAAGCACAGATTAAATTCGGATTTTTTTTCTCATGATAATTATTTTCTATGAGAAAATTTATTTTAACAAATGATCCAATATGTTTCACTGTTTCAGGTTTATCAATCGTCAAAGAAACAACTCGTGTTAATACACGATAATGATTATCATCGAATAAACCATCTTTTTGATTGTATATAGAAAATGCTAAACGATTTTGTTGTAGTAATGCTTGTGTATTAAGAACAATTGAAGTAACATTTTGTTGATTAACTTCAGTACTGATTGGTTTTGTTTCATTTTTAACTGAATCTAAATTTTATTAACAAAATCGATTTTTACTATTTCAAAAAAATGCAAGTGAGTCTCGATTAGAGTTTGTCTTACATCATATTCAACCTTGTAAGATTTATCGTAGTTATAGCGCTAAGGTTATTATAATGTACCGATTCATTATTAGAAGCTATCAATTATCGTTATGTAACTATGCACTTAATAGAAATAAAATATGTGTTAAGTCGAGTTCTGATGCACACGAAAATTGAATTTTGAAAATATTCGGATGTATAAATGATTTTATTGGAATTGCAAATTTAGTTTTGTGCTATCAGTTATTCGTAGTACCCTTCTTTAAAATACTTTCATAGAAGCACAAAATTCTCTTTGATTATATCCTCTCTAATGTATCAATAAATCACCTTTCATAATTTTAGTAAAAGCGATCCTTCAAATCGTATCGTATACTTTATAATTACTATAATAATGTCATTAACAATAATAACAATGTCACTTATTTTCTTTCCTTAACTTTTCTCCTTATCTAGCATTTGTTAATCAACAAAAAACATAAGATCATAATTCATCCATTAACTTTATGTACATATTAAATGTTCATTATATATGTATATGTAATTTACTTCTCGTTTTTTATCCACTTTATAATCTGACGTGTTGTCGCGAAATGAATAGTAAAATATACACTGTATGTGACAATGCTGCATATATATTTTTTTTTCGTCGTCTTATACTGATGACATAACTTCATATGAAAACGAATGAATAAAATCTAGAAATTTCATTATGATGCATATCTTCTCATAACAAAATACGAGCATAAATAAATAATAATTATGATTATACATACCATATGCAAAACCGATAATAGGTTCTAATCGACTATTTGGTCGATTAACAATCGATACAGCAAGGTTTGTTTGAGTAAAAGATTTTTCTAATTCATCAAACATTAAATTTTGAGAATATGTTTCAAGTAATGATAATAATCTATTATGAAAAACAAAATGAATTTAAAAAAAAAACAAAATCGAACGTCTTACTTAACAACACTTCCATTCATTTGTTGAGCTTCTTGCATTTGTAATGTTGATAAAAGTTTATTTGCAGTTGAATATAAATTAGATTGAATACCATTCGTATTTTGATTATTCATCATAATACGATCAATTACATTTAGAACTGATGTTATATCAGATGATGATTTAAAATTTGTTGTTTCTTCATTTAAATAAAATAAAACATTCGATACATCATTCGATGTATTCATAGATAATTTATCTAAACTTTCGATTGTTAATTTCTGCGATGAATTTTCATTAGGAATTATTGTTTTCAAATCTTGTTTAGTTATACAATTACTAAAATACGGATCTTGTCCCCATGAGGAATTTGGATAACAAGGTAAATATACATAAGGACGACCAGTATCTAATGAATTGAAAACAAAAAATTAATATTCCAAAGAATTTCTCTTTATACTTACAAGGACATGTTTCTAATGATCCAATATTTCCAATAGATGAATCAATAAAATTATACGATGCTAATTTTGTTTTATTTTTAAATTCAAATGTCGCTTTTGGACATCCAGCTAACATTAAAAAGAAAAGATTTTTTTTCTTTTAAAATTCCGAACTTACCATTTACAGGATAAAATATAATTAAAATTATAAATATAAAACGTACAACTTGCTTCATGATATATATAAGTTCACGACCTAAAACAACATATGTACTATAGTTAAGTGTCCTATTCTTTCTTTTTTCTTCTTCTCTTATTTATGAACAATAGGGATGAACTGTTTTTTCTTTCTACTATATTTTTCATTCATTTAAGTTATTAAAAGTAAGATAGTTTTTTTATTTTATGGTCGAATGAACATATTAAACTTGTTTTAATCAATTGTGATATAAACATCAAGAAAATAATATATTCATTTCACAGTGCAAAATTAACAATTGACACTATTAAATTCATTGTTTGTTCTTAATGTAAATACAATCTATTGAAGTACAATGATTACATAAAGAATCAGTTGAATTGTTTTGTGTTGAATTTCATTACTAATAGTTTGGTTAATGGATTAAAATGATCAATGAAACCGACAATATATACAACTGTCGATCAAAAATGTCAAAAGAATATAAAAAATACTAAGGTTAAATATATACAAGTGAAATCATTAAATAAATTTGATATGAAAAATCAACTGTCGAAAAGTTAAAAATATAAGCGCATACCCTTGTTGCTCATCGAATGAAAAACTCAATTAAAAATGAATGATGACATGAATTGCTTATTGACAGAAATTGTTTAATGTAAATGATAAACAAGAAAATGATGAGTTGATTTAACTGTCAAAATGTGAAGAGAAAATGAAAGTAATCTCTCTAACATATTTCATTTGTTTATTTTCAATAAGGCAAAAAATATATATGACAAGCGAGACTTGTAAATGAGATAGATGAAGGGGTCAACACAATAGTCTACACTTGCTGTTCTCATTCTCTTTTCATGCAACCAAGCTTATCTTAATCAAGCAAACTCGAGTATCTTTATGCTTATGCACATGATTACACGCAATGCGAATGTATAGAGATGGTGTGAAGCTCTCACACATCATCTATATGCTATGTTCTAATCATCAAGAGATACGAAATTGAACTATAAATTGATTTACATAGAAAATTTGAAGAGTATCGTTTCTATACTAAATCTTCGTAAAGAATAAATAGATTTCATCATCATCATCATCATCATACTTACTATATAATCATAATATCAGCAAGTAGTGTGTGTGTGTTTTTTTTATTCTATCTGTTGCGTGACTCTTTAATAAGTGTTAATATGTATACTCACATGAAAAGAATACAAATCTCAAATATTCTTTTAAAGATCATTTGAAGTGCTATAATATAAGAAAAAGAAAGAGAGAAGGAAGGAGAGAGAGCGAGCGAGAAGAAAAACGGAATGTTAATGCATTTCAATTGGTTCTAATGTTAGTATGTCTGTGCTTATTCACAATTGTGAAATTAGTTCAATGAACGATAATGGTCTCGCACGAACAGGACACATATATATATATATATACATACATTCATATGCAGAACATTATGTAAACGGTTACAGAACCAGGGTGTTGCAACAAAATGTTCGCCATTTTCACACCATTTGAATTTTTTGTTCCGATATATCGACTACACATTAAGCTGATGCCCTGGACAATCAATGTTCTTCGTATATATATATATATATATCTTCGATTAAAACAAAGGGGAAAGAAAAGGTCAATCATCCATCTGACACAATCTTCTTTGAATTTTATATGAAAAGTTACTTGTATTGTTTTTATGGCGAAGATAAACTTTTAACAAGGATAAAAAAAAGAATTAATGAACAATGAAAAATGTCTTTTGACATTGCCCGAAGATAATATGTCTATAATCGTATTACAAGGACAATCTTTTCAATCAATTGTCAGATTTTATCTTTTTTTGTAAAATAAAAGAAAATCTTCATAGAAAAAAAAATCAAAGCTTTTTTGTTGTAACTTAGATATGAAAAAAAAATCAAAGAAAATGACAACAGCTGGGTGGACGTTCAGACAGATTTGCTTATGCGTGGAATGATCAGTCATTTTAGTAGACACATATATCAATATTGAAGTGTCCTCAAAGACAAATGCTGCAATGAATAATATGATTTTATCATCAAATGAACTTGTTGTCTACCACTTCATCTACTTTTAACAGCTTAACAATGCATTGAATTTCTTTGATATCAAATTTTCATATTATTTAATACCACTTCGTACAGGTGATCAAGTGCTTTTATAATAAATGGATTATATGAGCTGTTTCAATGTCATTTGGACTAATATCAAGTGTATGTTATTTTTTCATGTATTAGATCTATTTCATATGTTTGAATAAAAAGACGATATGTATATGATTAATAGACGTTTGAGAACGAAAATTAAAATAAGTAAAATTTGTGACCTATTTTCTGTCTTGTAGTAAGGAAAAATATTGACTATTGTTTTTAGTAAAAGTTTACGTAATTGTTTCGTTTACTTTATTTTGTTTTCAATACAAATTATCGTTTTTTTTTGCACAACAAATTGATTTGACAAATAAATATACAATATACTATCAACATCATTGACAGGTGACAAATGATTTTGCATTACTTTCTTGCACGCAATCATGACTAATTCTAGATTGTGATCATATTACTCATTTAGGTTATTCATTTGTCTCACACGACTGCGTTTCAAACTTGTTTATCAGTTATTATTTTAATTATAAATCAATGAATAATATTTACGCATCCTGTTGATATCTATATATACATGTGTTATGACAGAAAAACACGATATGATCTTTTTCTAAAATTGTTTCATCTACGAAAAAACTGACTCCATACAAATATTCGTCTGATGTTTATCTTAGTAAAAACAAGTTGAATTCAATTCTTGCTTTATTTTATGGAGTAAAAAATATAATACAAGTTTTTAAAAATGTTTCTGGTGTTCAATCGCATAGACATTGTAATGACTTGCACCGGCAATTGATAGACGACGAACAAAATTTTTCAGTCGATCAAGAAAACTAGAAAAACCTTTCGGATTTTGAAATTCAAATATTTTAATTAGTTGAAGTGCATTTCGACCAAGTGGAGTTGATAAACGTTGTCGTTTCGATCGATCAACTATCTGTACAAGAATATTGATATGAAGAGAATTTATTTTGTTAAGAATGGAACCGAGTTGACATTTAACATAATTTAGTTGAATTTCATCATCAGGATTTATTTTTAAGATAAAAGCATCAAGTTCAGTAAGACGATTAAATTGAAGTTCTTTGAATTCATTGAGTGAATCACGTAATTCGTTGGTTAACTGACTAACTTCCGCTTGTTTATGTTTTTCCATTCGATTAACTATCTGTTCCATTTCTTTTGATGAAGATGTATCGAAAATTAGTCGCCATTTATGTACTTCATCGGAAACTCGTTGTTCTACTGAATTCACTTCTAGTTGAGATAATCTCGAATGTATTTTGTTTACTTCATCTCGATATGCTTGCAGAATCTGTTTATGGTCCATGCCTGTTTCCTTGAATATGACTGTTTCCTCATAATTAATATGCTTATATAGTATAACGATGAATCAATGTTGGAAATTTCTTAGTGTAAAAAAATAACGCAATTCAATTAAATATTTGAAAATTAGCAATATTTCATGGGAAACATATCTAATTACCATAAATAAATAAAGTTTATCTAGTATATAGAATGAATAACCAGTCGAAATCAATGAATAATATTTAGACATCCTGTTTATATCTACATATAGATGTACTATGACAGTAAAAACATGTTGAAGTATATTTTTGGTTTATTATAGGAAACAAAAAATTTATTACATATTTTCAAAAATGTCTGTGATGTTAAGTGCCATAGACATTGTAATAACTTGCACCAAGACTTGATAGCCAACGAATAAAATTTATCAGTCGTTGAAGAAAACTAGGAGGTACTTCTGGAGTTTTAAACTCAAATACTTTAGTTAGTTCAAGTCCATTTCTAGCAAGTGGAGTTGATAAACGTCGCTGTTTCGATCGATTAACTGTTTGTACAGTGATATTGGTATGAAGACAATTTATTTTGTTAACAATGGAATCGAGTTGAAATTTAACATAATCGAAGTGAAGATCATCGTCAGGATTTATTTTTAAGATAAAAGTATCCAGTTCAGCAAGACGACTAAACTGATGTTCTCTGAATTCATTGAGTGAATCTCGTAATTCGTTAGTTAGTTGATTGACTTCTGCTTGTTTCTCTTTTTCCATTTTATTAAGTGTTTGTTCCATTCCTTTTGTTGAAGATGTATCGAAAGTTTGTCGCCATTTACGTACTTCATCAGAAGCTCGTTGTTCTACTGTATTCACTTCTAGTTGAGATAATCTCGAATGTAATTTGTTTATTTCATCTCGATATGATTGAAGAATTTGTTTATGGTCCATGTCTATTATCTTGAATATGATTGTTTTTTCGTAATTGGTATACTCTAAAAATAAAATGATGAATCAATGTTGGAAGTTTTTTAAAACGCGGAAAGAAGAAACACAAATAACGTAGTTTAGTTAACTATCTGTAATGATATATCATAGAAAAATTACGTAGGTACGTTAAATAAATCAAGGTTATCTAGTTTATGTAAGTGATAACCTGTCGAAATCAGTGGTATAATATTTGGACATCCTGTTTACATCTATATATAGATGTACTATGACAGTAAAACACGATATGAGTTTTTCGTCTGATGTTTATCTTAGTAAACACATATTGATTAAATTCTTGGTTTATTATAGGAAAGAAAATATATTACATATTTTAAAAAAGTGTCTGGTATGGAAAATTTACATTTCGTACCATCCTTTTCGAACAT